GACGCTTCGCAACGCAAAACGCATTTTAGAACACTGTCTAAAATATATTCTTCCAAAATAATGTAACTCAAACACACCCTAACTGACCACTCAATACAAAATACTTGAGAAGTAATGCATGTACAGTGTCATTTAAACTCCACTAGATTATTCTTTTAACTTCTTCAAATTTTGGTCAGCCATGTTTAAGGATGAAAACTTATTACTTATGTCTTCCCAATTATATGTTTGTTTCCATTTTCACACAAATTAAAAAAATATAAAATTAATATAGTTGAAATAATAAATTTTACTTATATTTTTCCTAATAAACCCATACATGAATAATAATTTAAATAGGAGTAGTTCATATTTATTGATACAAAGACACATTAAATAGTGACATAAAAACTAAGAAATCAATTATACTCTCAATAAGGAAAGTGAATTATAATTTGAGACAAACGAAAATAGAAACAAAATCTATCTTTGTGGGACGGAGTGAGTACAATATTACAAGTCTATGAATATTTGAAAAATGTAATCATATTATTTATCATTCAAGAAAGAAAGCATTTCGCTTGCAACTATCAAATTTCTAAGTACTCATTTTGGATGAAATCACAACTAGAATCTCTCACCTTATGTTCTTCAATGTCATTATTCGAATCAATTAAATGTTATGGTATTTTTGAAGAATTAATGGTCTAAATAATATTGGGTTTTTTTTAATTTTATTTGATATTACCCATGGAAGATTGAATCTAGCCATAAGAAGAATGCTTGGTATAAATAACTCACTTCTTGGTCTTCGTTTATTATTTTGAAATATATATCATTCTTGCTTAAGAACGTTCCAAAATTATACCTCTTCTTTTTACATGAATTTTGATTTGTTTTGACATTGTCAAACTAGACGACAATTTTTAGTTCAAATGTGTTTTCTCTTTCATTACTACAAAACATTTCGAATGTAGGCATTGTCGTCACACTATGAGAAGTTGATAGTTTATAATTAATTTAAACCATTATAGTCTTCCTTAACAACTTCATCTAGATTGCTTGAGGATATTTTAGTAATTTTATAATATTTTTCAGGAAGTAAACTACTATAGACAACTAGCCTTAACCTTCAAGTTGATTTTTTTTTTATGAACTCAACCCTAAAAAGGTTAATCAAGTGAATATTCGCTGAAATTTTGAGTAATTACGTCAATAGTTTTTTATGCTACTAGTCACTCATGTTTTTAATTGCTATAATAATGGTCATTCGGTCAAAAAAATTAATATAAAATTCTATGTGACATTATTAAGTGTCAATATGTCACAAAATGATAATATTATTTATTATATCAAGTCAGCAATATTTTGAAATTAAATATAATTAAATAAGAAAAACGTAATACAACTTAGTTTTGATATGACTGTGGGGGCTTAAATCATATAGTAACCGTGTTTTTATTTTTAACAATGAATTTTTCTAATTTGAGAAAATAAATAACGTCGTTTAGTGATACATTGGTACATAACGTAGTTGCTCAAAACTTCAATGATCATTGATGTAATTAACTCCTCTAAAAATTCAAAAAAAAAAAAAAAGATAAATAAATTCTTCTTAAAATCGAAAGTAGAGTAAACTTATTTTGAAATTAAAATAAAACAATCATTAATATGAAATTTATTTTTTCAAGTTCAGATTAATCGTTAATGAGTGATGTGGGCAATCATCAGCCTTGAGATTCTGACAACCTTCGCAACATGGGGATCCGTAATAGAATTTTGTCTTTTCTCGTGAGAACACTAATATAAAAGAATAATGTCACATGTACATAATGAAGTTATATAATGACTTATCCATTTCACTAGATAGCCTCAGCTAGCCCATGACAAGGATTGGTTATCCATCGGCGATATCGAACATTACATTTGATATTATCTGTAAATGAGATGTCAAAAAAAAAAACTGTAGATTTTTTCAAAATTTTATTTGATTTAAGAAATTATGATCTAATCAAATCTCACTACGCCGCGTGTATATAAACAATTATATAAATTATTATATACATGTAACACAATCAGATATAAAATTCAAATGCGCTACATGTACAGGGTGACGTGCCAACTATTTAAAAAAAAAAAATTTAAGCTATATGTATATCTTAATTATGCTAGTTGTACATTCTTGTGTACATCTTCTCTTACACTCCCCCTATGTGACATAATCAAGACAGGAAAGAGAGATTATTTGGGAAATCAAATGGGATGATGGTGCTTGTGACAGTGTGTAAGGAAAGATGTACACAAGAACATACATGTAACATGATTGATGTACATATTGCTTCAAACTTGGATGACATCCCCCATGTGACACAATTTGGGTAGTAATGTGAAAATGTACTTCAGTAATCAAAAGATGTGATTGACATATGTAAAAGTGCAAATAAAGATGTAAAAAATGATGTAATATTGGGTTGTTTACTGTTAAGTGAGCTTGCGAATGAGACCCAGCCTTGCCAATACGCCCCAATTTGGTTTAGATGAAAATTAATTTTTTAATAAATTTTGAAAAAAATTGAATGAAATATGCGATTGAAAAATTCTAAATTCCATAAAATTAATTGTTTTAGCTTTGATTTAAATTTTATTCAACTTTTGTAGTTGAACTAAATAATGACTATACATTAGATTGACAAGGAAATATGAAATAATCAAAATGCATTTTATTTTTGTTTTTGATTACTTTCTACTTAGAATTGCAACTTTTTTGTAGCATTTTTATACTCAACCTTCAATTAATTAGCACATATTGTCTCCAATAACAATTTCTGTCTAAATATTCTACTATCATGTACTGAAATGAGAGTCAAATTGTTTGTTAAAGTTTTGTATTTATTGTTTATTTTGATTATTTAAAAATATGGAAGACAAATAAGTTCTTTTACATTTTCCAAGCAAGGGACAGTACAACCTACTGCCAGTGCCAGAGATGCTGCTGTTAAACTTGCTTCAGGCAGCACCATGTCCTCTCCGAAAATAACCCCTCTTCTGGAAATGCCAAGCATCTGTCAGCTATTGAAAATGGCATTAGAATCATCCACGTGATTCCTCTAAAACTGGGGCAGCATCCTAGACAATAAAGCTACACAAACAGGTTCAGTGACACGGATTAAAAATAGAGGACACGTGATGCAACATCATTTGACAATTTGAAAAAAAAAAAAATATTAGCCACACGGGTGTTTGAGTAGCATTATTGGCTTTCCAGAACTACATGCAGTTGTCTACGGGCGAGGCATCGGCTCCAAATTCTGAACTTCTTTCTTTCCCTTCCAAGTATTTGCTCTCTCAGTTAAAACTTTTTCCTTTTACAGATTATCCATGGAAAACATTAATATATGGTGATATATCAAGCAGTTCGGGTCTCCGCTGCTGAAACTAATTTGGTGTCTCGAGTCTGATATAGAGAAAAAGAAAAAAGAAGCTAAGGGAAAGAAAGATGTTGAAGATAGAAAGGAACATATTCATTTGGGACTTCTCTGCTTGAAGAAATTGATCGAGATAAGTTTGTATATCTCGAAATATTTGGGCTTAATTGATGATTTGGTCTCGTCTTCTGGACTTGAGCAAGAATTGATCCATTCTATGGAATTATCCTGCATTGATGAATGTAAAGTAGCTGAAGGCATTGATGATCAGAACACAAAGGAGCAATGAATTATTCATTAAGATGAACATTAAGTCACTGCTGACTGAGTTTCTTGCTCTTTCTATTTTCCGCGAAGCTGATTTGTTTTGTCTTAATATAGTACTTTATTATGAATATTCACTTTCGCTAAATGTAATTATGCTACCATTAGGTGGTGGCTGGAAATGAGCTACGAAAGGTCGAGAACCTTTTTTTCTTTTTTAGATCTTCATGGATCTTAAGCTAGCTTCGTGTCAGCACATGATTGAAGTTAAATCATTTTGAAAAACTTAATTCATTCATCTTATAGATATTGATATATATTTATTTATTCATGCCGGGAAAATTTAAAATATTGTTTGAAATTCTTTGTGCCGGTGCCTACATCATGCATGAGTAATATTCTTGTCGAACTATATTTTTCTACTCTCGCCTCAATCTGCTCGTGAATCCTTAATCTGGGGTTTGAAAATATAAGCTTGAATGTTAGACGATAACTCTGAGACATCTGGTGCAAAACCTGATAAATTATATTTTGTTGATATCACAGAGGAAATGAGAAGTAAAAACTTGGGAAATTGGAGAACACGCTTTATAGTTCGTTGTGCAAATGCCAGAGGTAAATGTTGCGGTCAGAAATCTGCAGCCATGATAAACCTTAGAGAAATGAAAATGCGGGCTTTATTCGGAAGAAAACTTATGATTATTGACATTACGGGAACACACACATGACATGTAATTCTCTTTTCCTCCTTCCCTTGTCAGAAAATGAGGTGAAAATAGAAACTCTTTATCCTTTGAACTATGGTTCCTTTAGGTCAGTCTATGGCTTTGCTTTGTTTCCTTTAACATTCCACTAACATAAATGTCTATTTTCTCAGATTCTTTGTGATACAACAGCTATGATTGGCGACAAATTGCCTGAAGAAAGGAAGAATCTTGTTGCCATGTGGGCGGTTCATATGTGCAAAAACAGTGACGTGTCAAATTCTAAGGTTGCTAAAAGCTTGGTCTCTCTTGCTGTTTCTTTAAGCTCGCCTCCTAATGACATACTTTTTGCCTAAGGAATAGCTGCAGAACTTTCAAAAGTGACCAGATCAGAAGACAGAGATCGGTTATAGAAATCTGAAACCTTCCGCATCATAAACAAATCAACAGATGATGCAATAGCTTCTATTCTACTGCAGTCAGTCAAATCAACCATCTTTGACATGGATTGGATTACACAGCTACTCGACAATGCATCCTCTTCATCAAAGGGGTATATTTGCTTCTGGATCAGTATTGGAAGAGATTTTATTCAAGAGCAGAAGCCTAATAAAGGTCTTATCTTTTTTCATGGCAATGAACCTCAATGGTATGCAGGTGCTAAAATGTGCAAATTTGCAATTCATCGCGTATACTTCTCTTTTGGAATAATTTAGCCCTTAAATTGCAGATCATCAAGCAGAGTATTTGAGCATTTCTGCGAAGTTTTTCAAGAACCTGGATCGAATATTGCTCCTACAGGCTGTAAGCAACTTTTACCAAGCCTCGACTACCAGGAACTCGTGGAAATAACTTGCAAGCAGTTAACTGCCCCAATTTGTAATTTTGTGCACAGATGCAACAGGTATTTCTCAAGTATTTACTTGCTGCTTTTATTCGTATGCTTCATTCATGATAAGTCTAAGATTTCAAAGAATGTCTTTAATTCTTGGAGTTGTCATTGCTGATCTGAAGAACTAACAAGAAAGCAATAAAACTAGACTTGTTAATAAAATCAGAAGAGAAAATCGATGCATCCCAGACTTGATCTTCCAGATAGAGACTGAGAAATATCTCATCCAACTGAGCAAGATCACCAAAATTAATTTGTTGAGACATCATGCCAAATGTAGCACATCCTGGGATTTCAAAATTGTAGAGCCAGTGAAGATACATTGGAAGAAGAAAAACCGAACCAAGAACCAAGAACCGCAAAACAATAATTCCAATAATGCTGAAAGTGAATCGTCCAAAGAATATGGTAACGGAGAAACAGAAATTGAAAACGTTCTGGTGCATGAGTCTAGTCCTGTGGCTGCAGATGATGGAGCTTCCTAAAGCAAAAAGAGCAATTTGGGCATCATAAATACTATATATTTTTAACTAAAAATTATTATTAAATAACAAACATGTACTCATATTTAAAAAATTTCAATAAGAAAAATGAACGATACTTTATAAAATGAAAAACTTTAAATATATACACACACACATTGAGACAGGATCTTCACGTTGACGGGATGTAAGTTGCAATAGTGGTGAAACTTTGGAACCAGAAATGATATAATCTTGGATAAGGTTAAACAATTTACGTATGAAAAATAAGTAAATTATAGTAAAAAAAACTTCTCATTGGTCAACACAACCTTAGCAAAGCACGATAATAATCTCCAACACTCATCAGTGTTAGTGGCAAAAGCTCAGGTAGACAGTGACTGAGAAGATGAATGGCGGCGGCGCAGCCTACCACCCCAGCCGACAGTCTTGCCGGCTCCACTTGCCTTATCTACCATTAATTCTTATATTCGCAGTGTTATTAGCAACGGTCAACGGTAGCGAATTTACAGATTCTTCGGCAATCATATCGAGATTCCAAGAATACCTCCGAATCAACACTGCCCACCCGGAACCCAAATACTACAAAGCCGCTGATTTTATAGTCTCAGTGGCCAATTCCCTTTCCCTTGAATCCCAAATCCTGGAATTCGTAAAGGGCAAGCCGTTGGTCCTCCTCAAATGGCCTGGCAGGAACCTCAGCCTCCCCTCTGTCCTCCTCAACTCTCATACGGATGTCGTCCCGGCCGAGCACAAAAAGTGGACACACGCGCCTTTTGACGCCCACCTTGACCCGTCTTCCGGCCATATCTATGCTAGAGGCTCTCAGGATATGAAGTGTGTAGGTCTTCAGTACTTAGAAGCCATTGGGAAGCTACAGACCTCAGGGTTTCGCCCAATTCGCACCGTGTACCTTTCTTTCGTGCCTGATGAGGAAATTGGTGGACAGGATGGCGCCGAAAAGTTTGCTGATTCAGAGGTTTTCAAGAAGATGAATGTTGGGATTGTGCTTGATGAGGGATTGGCCTCGCCCACTGATAATTACAGGTTGTTCTATGCAGAAAGGTGTCCCTGGGGGTTAATGATTAAGGCCACTGGGGCGCCTGGCCATGGGGCGAAGCTCTACGATAACACTGCAATGGAGAATCTACTCAAGAGCATCGAGAGCGTCAGGAGATTCAGGGCTTCCCAGTTTGATTTGGTGAAGGCAGGTCTCAAAGCTGAAGGAGAGGTCATTTCTGTCAACATGGTGTTCTTGAAAGCCGGCACGCCATCTCCAACTGTAAGTGTGCTGTTTTACATCCACCACTGCACACTGATCAGTTCTGAGAAGTTAATTGAGTAGTATTTTTTGGTTAGGTAAGATATACTTGGATAAATAAGCTATGAGAAAACTATGGCAGCATGGTAGTTCAAGAGTAAGACTATAATATTGGGCACAAGCATTTCCATGATACTGGCCTGAAATTCAATTTGGATTAAAACTAAGTAATTTTGATGTTATAGTTCCCTTATATGTTTAAACTATTGAAACTCTGATTTCTTAATTCCGGATTCCAGATCACCGTCATTGTTTCTTTCACGGCTTATTCCTAGGCCAACGTCCCTATGCATGAACTTTGCCTTATAAGCAAAATTAACAACATTGAAACCAGACTATTTGAATAAGAGCTGACCCTTGCAGCACACAAACAGACTCCAGCAGATGTAAAGAAAGAACGTTTATGCTTCCTTCCTTTCTTTAATATTACCCTGGCCCTACTGCAGCAGATAATCAAAGAAACCTTTCTTATTCTAATACTAAAGATGAAATTAATGTACAAAAATAGCTTCCTTATTTCCCCATAAAGCTGAAATCATTGTACTTCAGCTGCCTATTAGGCATGCATCAATACTCAAGAATATGCATATTAGTCTCTGTACAAAAATTATTAGCATGCTGAAACTGTTCGGATTGTTGGTTTTCAAGGCCATTAGCTATTTAAAGTATATTCACGAGAATGCGAGGCTCTTTCTGATTTTGACAAAATTTAGCTTGATAAAGAAGAGCAGCATTTTAGTTCGATCTGCTTTCCTTTGTGTGGCATTAAGTTATTGCTCATACCACATCCTGCTATGTGCATAATGATTCTGCAAATCAAATACCATCTGATTAAGAGCTCACTTTATTTTGCAGGGCAATCACCGAGGTGATATATTTACTTAAAGTAATAGTACCACTAATTGGTTTTTCTCTTTGGCAGGGATTTGTCATGAATTTGCAACCATCTGAAGCTCAGGCTGGTTTTGATATCAGGGTCCCACCAACAGTGGATGCAGTGTCCTTGGAGAGACGAATTACTGAAGAATGGGCACCTGCTTCACGTAACATGACCTTTGAGGTGAGATAAAATATGAGATTGTCCAAGTGTTGGAGCATTACTTTCTTTGCTTGGATGCAGAGCCAGAGGCAGTCTCTAAGAATTTGAAAGCGTCATGATGCTAAAAATCTTATAGATGCATTTGTCCTTTTCTCTGGCTGAGTATTTACTTTCTGGTTGCTCGCTAGTAGTGTTAAAGCATCTCGAAGAGACTTTCTATTTTTAAATAGCATATTTTGCAATTTAAGAGCATCTATAAATTTAGAAAGTGTAAATTTTCAAGTATTCCAACGGGCTCTTTATCTTTTAACACTTAATTTTACTACTCCCAAAAAATATTTATTGGTTTTCCCTATCTTTTATTTTCACTAGCTTCCTTCCAAATTATTTTAGGAATTTATTCTTTAAAATAGAGAACATATTATGTTTAAAGAGTCTCTTGAAGATATTCTTAGACTTACATGATTTGAATTCCTTGGCTATTTGATTCTGCATTTTCATTTTTAACATATGTTGTAGCTTCAACAGTTCAAGCGAAAGGCTTCTGTTTTTGACAAGTTTGGGAAGCCAATCCTTACATCTTCGGACAGTTCGAACCCCTGGTGGATGCTATTGGAAGAAGCTATCAGAGATGCTAATGGAAAACCTGGAAAACCAGAGATTTTTCCTGCCTCGACTGATGCAAGCTACTTCAGGGAACGAGGCTTACCTGCAATTGGCTTTTCTCCTATGTCAAACACTCCCATTCTTCTTCATGACCACAATGAGGTGAACAATCTCTTATACTCGGTAGTTTCACGAGGTCTCGTGTTTTTTTACCTATTTTATGCTTATTGCTATACGTAAACAGGATATAATTCTCATCTGTTTTGGATGACCATATAAGGTTAATGTAGACTCTGGGAAAATGATAATATTGGATATTAGATGAGTCCACACTACTCGATCTTAGTTTTGTAATTGCAAACTGGAAATTGTTGAATTTTTGTGGCCTAAATTTTGAATGACTGGTAATTTAGGTTGAAAGTTGAACCAATTGAATTAACATAGACTGATGGCTTCCGCAGAGGGACACTGACGACCTTGAATTTCCTTTTCAGTGATTGATACCATTCTTTTGATGGTTCATATTTTGTTGATACTGGAGAGTTTCTCTTTCTCTTTTTTTATTTTATAATTTGACAAATTCATGCTTATCTTTTTCTTGAGTTTGCAATCGAGAACATGCATTATGAAATTTACACTACCCTAATCTTGTGCAGTTTCTGAACAAGGATGAGTATTTGAAAGGCATCGACATTTACGAGTCAATAATCAAAGCCTATGCAACTTATGTTGAGCATCTAAATGATGAGGCTTCTAGAGATGAACTGTAAGAAAGAAGCTCAAACTGCAGAATGAAGTCTTTGCCATCTTAAATCGCACGTCCAGACTCATTGGTTCTATAGCTGTGGATCAACTATGTTTGACGAACTTTGTCGGTAACTACATTTGCTCATTTACGAGAAATGTTGGACATGTGATGAGTTTAATATTTGAGCTTTTGACGCTATATTGAGACTTGACAACTCAATATATATATATATATACACACACACTAGGTGCAAGCAACGTGCAATGCACGTTTGCCTAGTTTATATTTAAGCTTGTTTGGTAGAGATTTTTTGGGGGAAGAATTGATTTTGAATAGTGATATGATGGGAAATGTGTGGTTGAAAATGAGAATTGATTTACTGCAGAATTGGAGAATCCGTACCAAACGGGGCGTTAGTAGTTTTGTTTAAGAATTAATTTGTTATTAATAAAGATGTAATTTTTTTGGTTAATTAAATAATTAATGATGTAATGTTTATGTAATTG